AGAAGAAGAAGAAGAAGAAAATTGCGTAGGAACCACTTACTGAGGTTACAGTCTATCCTGATACAGTCTGGCGGGAGAGAGAGCGAGATGGTGAGATAACGGAATAAGGAGAGGACAAAAAAAAACATGAAAAGAGACACATTTTACATCCTTCAAGGTACATTCTGCAGACAACCAAGCAATGCACAGTCCACCTTCCGGGGACGAGCGACGAGTCAGGCCCTCCCTTTACCTTTCTGGAAATCCCCTCCCTCCCCGAGTCCTAAAAAGCACAGTCAGGCAAACCCCTCGCTTGCCCCTCTCCTTACGGGGGCCTGGAACGGCGACTGACTCCCTCCCTCCTGCGCCGCGCTGATCGGCACCCGCGGGTCCCGCGACGGGGGACGAGGAGCAGGGGAGGGCTCGGGCGGAACAAGTGTGTGACCCACACAGCGGCGAGGGGTGAAAGGCTCTACGCCGGAAACTCCTGTCCTCTGAGCGGGACGTGTCTCACTCACTGAGCTGAGTGTTGACCTAGCGTCATGGCAGCGTCAGTCACCAGCTGAGCTGTGACAGGCATCGCAGGTGCGATTTTTCCAATGCTGCTCAGCAGCGCCCCCTGGAGGCTGCTACTGGGGGCCACGTGCCCTGGATTTGGGGTTTTAGACCGCCATCTTGGGCACCACCCCGCCTAAAAAAAAGCACAGGGCTAGTCCCCTGAAACTGGGGGAGGCAGTCCTGTGTACCCCCCAGTTGGCAGTGGTGGGGTATACTGTAACGCAGGGAAATGGGAACCTCTCCGGTGTGTTCTGTGACCTGCGACCCCCCTCTGGACGAATTCGGAAGGGTGAGCTGTGATTCCCTCCTCTAACGGAGGGATGCACGGAATCGGGCATTTTGCACGGAAAGAAACACCTCCCCCGACAAACGGTAGGGATGGTTTATTTTAAGATGTGCCAGCCAGTACAGAGAATGAAATCCGCACGACTTTACGCATCATCTCGTTCCAGGGCGTCCTTTGTCAAACGTTCTAGTTTCACGCCAGGCTGCTGCAGCCTCCTCCAAGTGATCGTCCTGCAGACGAGGGGTTCGCACGATTAGCGTCTTGCTTCTTTTCCCCTGGCGGCACACTCTGAACCCGCGCTGAGCACCACAAAGAGGGCCAAGAATCGCTCCGACTGCCCCCCCAGGTGAAGGGGTGGCGGCCAAAGTGCATTCTGGGAAGGCTTGACGCCACGCTTCCCATGAGTCCCATGAGCGAAACCCGGCGGGGAACGGGCGAGCGATCAGGGGCGCTGCCCCGAGCGGGTGGATCTGGGAAGGGTAGTAGGGCCCCTGCCGGGATCAGCGCGGTGGGCACGGGGTGAGATGGGCGCGGTGTGCCCTCCCACTCCGGCTGCGTCTGCAGGGAGCTGAGGGGGGGGGTGGGGGTCACAGGGCCCTCTGAGACTCTACACATTCCTGCCTGGCTCGCTGCTGCACTTGAAGGAGAGGAGAAGCTGCTGAAGGGTTTGCCTTTTCAAGGAAGTCTCTGTGCACTTTAGGAACGGAAACTGACACAAGCATTTAGGAAAAGGCGGCCTGCACGCCCCAGCCACGTTGTGTACCAGCCCAAGAGACCAACACCCTAGAGGAAGTGGATACCCCCAGATCCTGTGCTCACCTCCTCATTTTCACTGGAATTTTGTGATTACACCCCCCCCCGATACCTCCCAAGTGGAAGAGCCCATCCCTGCTCTTGCTACGATTCCTCATATCTGAGGAATGAACCATCTCCAAGATGGGGAGGCTCCCTCCCAGTTCGCGTGCTTGCTGTATTCTTAGAACTCCAGTCCGAGGAAGATGAAAGTGTTTATTTCTCAGGCTTTAGCCCGTAAAAGGTCAGGGGACTATTTTTATTCCCGAAATGATTCACTCTCGGCAACAGCAACGGGCAGGCATATAATCTCTGCTTCCTGGAGCTCGCCTGAGTCACGTGGGTTAAAAACAAGGGCTTCTGGCTGCAGGAATGCTGTGTCTCCGGTCTGTTGCTCACAGGGCACGGGCCCAGTGTGCTCAGTGAACTGCGAGATAATGACCTAAGGATGATCCTTAGGTCAGGAGCCTTGATCAGCCAGTGGAAAATTGGATTAAGCCAATTTACAAAAGTAGATTCCTTGCCCTTTCAAATAAGGGTTCCGTGAACAAATGTGACCCGACCATATCTACTCTGCCATCCTGCTCACATCATGATAATAGTGATCTATAATAGTGCTTTCTGTGCTATGCACAAGGCCATATACTGGGTCTACACTTTACTGGATATCTGATACTCTAGCAAGACAGTATTAGACTCCATCTTCTCACTAGTTCACTAGTGTTCACTAGTTGCTGGGAGTAATGGTGATCCGCATCTGTACGGCCACACGGGGGGGGGTCCTGCTAAACTAAGCACAGTGCTGTCACCGATGGGCTCTCCACCCCTCCCTCCCTGCCCCCTAGCGGCGAAGGGCTGCGTGTGCACGTGACGGTGGCCGAGGCGTGTCTCGTGCTGTCAACCGCTACAGAACAGTGGACACAAACAGCCACGGACCGGACTCACCGCGGCTGGGCGCCCGAGCTGCCAGGGCGGCCCACGGGCCAGGCGTGCCCACCCTGTCGGCACCCTCTCCTCCAGGGGCGCTGGACAAGATGGCGCCGCGCCCCGGGTGGAAAGCGATGGGCAAATTCTTGCTCTTTCGGGCTCCAGTGAAACACTGCGCCCGCTCTCTTTAATTGGCA